AAATATGGTGGTAAGCGTTACTCAGAATTGTACTTCATACAGTCGACGCTTTGAACCAAGAACCAAGGACAACACTGATTGGTATCGTAGTGAGCATAACCCCTAACAGTGCTAATGTGGTAAACATAAACAGCAACAACGAATGAAGAGCATATTTTCATTTTAGACACCATCATTTTCATCCGTAACGTAAACGATCTTCGCAACAATCAAGTAGTGATTGAAATTCAATGTCTGTATGTAATACCAAGAACTCCATATGAGCATGGAGGAAAATCGGCATGAAAAATGAACCTGGTAGGAAGCAGAAAAAATTGAAGGTCGAAGCAGAAATGGATTGATTCTTTCAGAAATAACATTAAACTGTTCTGGGTGACGATAGTTTTGACTGGGAGCAAACGAAGAAATACAACCAATTCAATGCTGTAAGTCCATAGTATCAAAAAGTTATGGGCAAAATGCTAATGTTGTAATTTTAGTATTTTTTCAGCATAGTGCTGAATTTTTTATACACTAGCCTTTTTCTGTTGAGTAAAACATGTTATAACAAGGACGTAAGCTTGCTTAATGCTGACATTGTTACATATCCAGCTTTAGATTTCGAAAATTGTAAGTATAAATGGGCTTTATGAGACGAATCGCTGGGATCACGCACCTCGACATGTCCAGAGTTCAGATATCTGAGAAAGCTTAGATGGGCAGCCGCTCCTGCATTGTAAAGTCACCGCTATAGCGGTTTAGTCACGTCCTGCGAATTCATCTAGAAAGAAAGGCGGAACAGTACTACTTGCTTAACCGACCGACCGAAAACGCCGTGAACGGCCAAGAATGACATTAGCCAAGTGTTTCGAAAAACTCTGCTCTAGATTCGGATTTTTGAGGCTCAAAGACTGGCAAAGGATTGGAAACGTTGAAAACACTGCCTGACGCGGGTACATTCGCGACCCTAAATGTTGCAGGATAATCGAAACTGACTGAATTTTGAATTATTTCCTACTGTCAGAGAAACATTTTTAAAATTTATGGCCATATCATATTCATTGCAGTGCAAATCATAATGGAACTTCGAAAAATTCTTTCGTAGAATATTGTTCGCACTATAATATATCGGTAGTTTTCGCTCAGTCAAAACTTTACCGATCAGCGGGAGTATACCACCCTCATAATTAACGTCTTCATACTTTATGGAAGGTATGTTGCTGTTGTTGTCTGCCTGTTTTAAAATAGCCTCCAGCGCTGGCTAATAATTCTGTATATACGAGATGTAGAGCGCTTTCTGCAATCTCTAAGATAAAGTTAGATCCGATAAACATTTTGGAAAGTGGTTTTTGATTGGCCAATGAATTCTTATTTTTTTAAGTTCTAATTTTGATGTGAGCATCAAGAATCTGTTGTTGAGCACTGGTTTGACTCAGTGTTCGGGTAAGTCCCCGAAACGCTTACAGATGTGGTTGTACAAGGCTGATATCTAATCATTTGAATATATATAAGCGACCCGCCACCAACTGGCACCGCCTTAACCAACGATGCCTCAGCCAACGCTTTATGTGGGCGACTTTAACAGCCACCATATTGCATAGGGTTACACCGACTCTACATCAGCAGCTGGTGTACACTTGTACCACGATGCTAAACAACAAGGTACTTCCAGATCAGCAAGATAAAATCTGACCTAAGCTCGAACCGCTACGTGGAGGGGCGTCTTCAAAAATGACGACGAGGGACCGACCGTTCGTCAGCGATGCGGTTCGAGATACTTGGCGGTATTCCTGACTGACCTTGAGTATGCCGATGACATCCTCCTGCTGAGTGACTCCACAAGTGGCCTACTAACGCTCATTGACAGAGTTTACAGCACTGCAATGAGAGTGGGGCTAGAAGTGAACGCCAATAAAAGATACTGAGATCGTCCT